GAGGCCGTGACTCACTCCTGCGACGACCAGCAGCGACAGAGACGCGACCAAACTGACGGAGATAAAGTAAAGTTTTTTTATTCTTCTTTACAGAATACGATACTAAAAATAAATGTTTGTGACCCATATGGCATAGAAAAATGATGTTAGCATCTCAACCAGTGGTTCCAGGCTGGCGCCCCCTTGGCTTACAGTTGGATTCCTAGCACCCCTCTGTCATACACATGCGAACATGTGTATGGGAGGTGGTGTGCTTCGTATTGAAACCAACAAAATCAAGCAAAAATACATTTCACATTTTTTTTCAGTTTTTTCCCTTTTTACTTTCCATTAAGACGAAGCGATTGATGGAAATCACCTACACACCTTTTAAACATCATGTTTTATATGTTTTCACTGATTGCCCAAATGCAGGTAGACGCTGAGGTGCCTGACGTTGAAGGAGCTTCTCGTGTTAAGAACGATCCTCTCGAATGCGTTGGTCGGACGAGCGTCTTGCTTATAAGAACGAGGAGTGACGTCAAAAAGCAGACGTCGAGGACCTCGGATTAAATCCCCAGTATACGTTTCGATGACGTCTCAGTGGCGACGGAAAGACACGAGATAAGGTTCCTTAATCCTCTTGGTCGGATCTCTCTCCGGAAATAACTGATAAGCGCCGATGGGAAGATAAGGGAGGGTTTTTTGGGGTCGATTTGCCTCTCACATTCCGAGGAAATGTTTGGGATAAACCGCATTTGTTAGGCAGATGTTTGTTCAGTGCAACAGAAATGGATTGCTTGTGTAGTACAAGTAATAACCTTGAAAATAAATAACCATAACACGAATAACCGATAAATCTAATAAATCAAAGATTATATATACATTCATACATAATGTATATATATAATATATACATGCACGCATATTATATGTATACGTACATACACACACACACACACATTTTTATGTCAATATGTATACGTATGTATGTGCATACATTTTGAAATATAAAAAAACATTAACACATCTGTGCTTATAGATAGATGGCGAACTGGTGTGGACAGATAGACCGTTACATGTATGCATTATCCAGACAAATAATTTCAAGCAAAGCTCAGCGTCCACAAGGGAGCACTGGGCAGTCACTACGGCTTAGAGATATTAATAGACAGTCCATTACAAATAACTCGATCTATGGAGTTGCTTATGCAGATAACTAATTCCCGAGGGATGAAACACAGACTGTTAAAACATGAACAAATATTCAGAACTATATGATAATTCTTCTCATCTCCTCATTCCTTAATAATTGTTTTGTTTTTCCTGTTCCATATATCATGATCAGGCGTCGCGAATTCTGGTCAGTCTTTTTTGTAATTTTCTTTTTTTTATCGCCTTGCTGCTTACTTTATCCTACTTTATGCAACGCATCACTATACTCTAATATCCCAATAAGATAAAACGGCCACTGTAGGGAAAAATCACGTTTTGAATCCAAACTGGTTACATCAGACGACGCAAAAACGAAGTGGATAGATCCATTTCCATTTCATTATCATTATTATTACTATTATTATTTTCATAAAATCACGATTTTTTAACCTTTGTTTCCAAATTCTGTGCTTATAACTATATTCTCGTTTCCAGGTTCATCGAAATAGAACTCTACAAAAGACCTTTTAGGCTTTGGTTATTTCCACATTTCTTCTTGCGAGTGCATTCTAGACAATTTGTTCTGAAATATAAGCAATCATCAATTCCTTCACTGTTTTCCATCACCTTTTCTACAGTGAATGAACTTTCCATTCAATAATTACATTCTTTATCTGTCAAAATAACTATCGTTGCTATTGGCTTTTGTCTACCTCAAGAAAGGTTTTTTGAAATCTTTATATCCGTTCTGGTTAAGTTTTATATTCTGAAATTAGAGTATTTTATTCTCTTCACATCATTAACTTTTCAGTTATGTAAGCTAAGCAGAGTAAAGATGAGGACATGAATATGTGAAAAAGATAAAGCATGTATTCGAAATGTTTATTGCGGTCAATGCAGGATACATTGGGAGGCATTTTGATTGTGCTTGTGATTCGCACTCTGAAGTCTGGTCCAGGCGTGGTCACCCTGGACACTGGTTGCATAGAGGCATAGACCAGCTGGGTACAACTGCGGTTACAGTGGTTTGGAAAAGGTGTGGTCACGCTGACGAAGTAACAGTTGTGGTCGCATTGTTGATTGGAACAGCTGTAGTTATATTTGAGACTGGGACAGCTGTAACATTGGAGACAGGAACAATTGTGGTCACATTGAAGGCTGGGGCAGCAGTTGAGGTGCTGGAGACAGGGGCAGCTGTAGTTCTCTCGATACAGTTGGCGTGTTCAGGAGAGTCACACACCTGCAGTTTGGCGTTAAAGTGCAGCACAGGAGGACAGTGCTGCAACAGGGCCGTCCCGTACCAGCTGCACATGTAGAAGGAGCCGCAGTCGACGGGGTTGGGCAGCAGCAGAGGGATCGGCCCCGGCGTGTAGGGGCACTGGGCGGCCACTTGAGGAGGGGCCGTGACGACGGCTGGGAGGCCGTGACTCACTCCTGCTGTGTCTGCTCTGTTGACTGGGACAGCTGAAGTTATATTGGAGGCTGGGGCAGCTGTAGTAACGTTGGCGACAGGAGGAAATGTGGTCACATTGGAGACGGGAACAGCTGTGGTCACATTGGAGACGGGAACAGCTGTGGTCACATTGGAGTCGGGAACAGCTGTGGTCACATTGGAGACGGGAACAGCTGTGGTTATATTAGAGCCTGGGGGCAGCAGTAGTTGCAGCTGTGGTTCTCTGTACACAGTTGGCATGTTCAGGAGAGTCACACACCTGCAGCTTGGCGTTGAAGTGCAGCACAGGAGGACAGTGCTGCAACAGGGCCGTCCCGTACCAGCTGCACATGTAGAAGGAGCCGCAGTCGACGGGGTTGGGCAGCAGCAGAGGGATCGGCCCCGGCGTGTAGGGGCACTGGGCGGCCACTTGAGGAGGGGCCGTGACGACGGCTGGGAGGCCGTGACTCACTCCTGCGACGACCAGCAGCGACAGAGACGCGACCAAACTGACGGAGATAAAGTAAAGTTTTTTTATTCTTCTTTACAGAATACGATACTAAAAATAAATGTTTGTGACCCATATGGCATAGAAAAATGATGCTAGCATCTCAACCAGTGGTTCCAGGCTGGCGCCCCCTTGGCTTACAGTTGGATTCCTAGCGCCCCTCTGTCATACACATGCGAACATGTGTATGGGAGGTGGTGTGCTTCGTATTGAAACCAACAAAATCAAGCAAAAATACATTTCACAACGTTTATTTTTCAGTTTTTATTACCACTCCCTTTTTACTTTCCATTAAGACGAAGCGATTGATGGAAATCACCTACACACCTTTTAAACATCATGTTTTATATGTTTTCACTGATTGCCCAAATGCAGGTAGACGCTGAGGTGCCTGACGTTGAAGGAGCTTCTCGTGTTAAGAACGATCCTCTCGAATGCGTTGGTCGGACGAGCGTCTTGCTTATAAGAACGAGGAGTGACGTAAAAGCAGACGTCGAGGACCTCGGATTAAATCCCAGCATACGTTTCGATGACGTCTCAGTGGCGACGGAAGAGACGAGATAAGGTTCCTTAATCCTCTTGGTCGGATCTCTCTCCGGAAATAGCTGATAAGCGCCGATGGGAAGATAAGGGACTTTGGGGTCGATTTGCCTCTCACATTCCGAGGAAATGTTCGGGATAAACCGCATTTGTTTGGCAGATGTTTGTTCAGTGCAACAAAAATCAATTGCTTGTGTAGTACAAGTTATAAGCTTGAAAATAAATAACCATAACACGAATAACCGATAAATCTAATAAATCAACGAGATTATATATACATTCATATATATATATATATATATATATATATATATATATATATATATATATATACATGCACGCATATATATGTTTACGTACATACACACACACACATTTTTATATGTCTATATGTATACGTATGTATGTGCATACATTTTGCCTGAGATATAGAAAAAACATAAACATATCTGCGCTAGTAGATAGATGGTGACAAGGTGTGGACAGATAGACCGTTACTTGTTTGTATTATCCAGACAAATAATTTCAAGCAAATCTCAGCGTCCACAAGGGAGCATTGGACAATTACAACATTATAGATATTAATAGACAGTCCCTTACAACTTATAACTCAATCTATGGAGTTGCTTTTGTAGATAACAAATTCCCGAGGGATGAAACACCAACTGTTAAAACAAAACAAATATTCAGAACTATATGATAATTCTTCTCATCTCCTCATTCCTTAATAATTGTTTTGTTTTTCCTGTTCCATATATCATGATCAGGCGTCGCAAAATCTGGTCAGGCTTTTTTGTGATTTTCTTTTTTCTTGCCATGCTGTTTACTTTATCCTACTTTATGCAACGCATCACCATACTCTAATATCCCAATAAGATAAAACGGCCACTGTAGGGAAAAATCGCGTTTTGAATCCAAACTGGTTTCATCAGACGACGCAAAAACGAAGTGGACAGATCCATTTCCATTTCATTATTATTATCATTATTATCATTCTCATAATATCACGATTTGTTTAGCCTTGTTTCCAAATTCTGTGCTTCTAACTATATTCTCATTTCCAGGTTCATCGAAATAGAACTCTTCAGAAGACCTTTTAGGCTTTGGTTACTTTTACATTTCTTCTTGTGAGTGCATCCCAGACAATCTGTTCTGAAATATAAGCAATCGCCAAGTCCTTCGTTATTTTCCATCACCTTTTGTAAATTGAATGAACTTTAAGTTCAATAATTACATTCTTTGTCCGTCAAAATAATTATTGTTGCCATTGGTGTCTACCTCAAGAAAGGTCTATTATAATCTCAATATTCCTTGTTTGTTTTATATTCTTGTGAAATTAATGTTATTCTCTTCACATCATTAATTTTCTGCAGTTATGTAAGCTAACCAGAATAACCATCATGAAAGAAATGCGTGCAAAATATAATGTTCGATTTCAAAAAGTTTATTGCAAAGTAAATGCAGGATACATTGGGAGGCATTTTGATTGTGCTTGTGATTCGCACTCTGGTCTGGTCCAGGCGTGGTCACCCTGGACACTGGATGCATAGAGACATAGACCAGCTGGGTACAGCTGCGGTTACAGTGGAGTTTGGAAAAGGTGTGGTCACGCTGACGAAGTAACAGTTGTGGTCGCATTGTTGATTGGAACAGCTGTAGTTATATTTGAGACTGGGACAGCTGTAGTTACGTTGGAGACAGGGACAGTTGTGGTCACATTGAAGGCTGGGGCAGCAGTTGAGGTGCTGGAGACAGGGGTAGCTGTGGTTTTCTCGATACAGTTGGCGTGTTCAGGAGAGTCACACACTTGCAATTTGGCGTTGAAGTGCAGCACAGGAGGACAGTGCTGCAACAGGGCCGTCCCGTACCAGCTGCACATGTAGAAGGAGCCGCAGTCGACGGGGTTGGGCAGCAGCAGAGGGATCGGCCCCGGCGTGTAGGGGCACTGGGCGGCCACTTGAGGAGGGGCCGTGACGACGGCTGGGAGGCCGTGACTCACTCCTGCGACGACCAGCAGCGACAGAGACGCGACCAAGCTGACGGAAATAAGAATATTGATATGCCTGACGGAACATTTAACTATACGTTTTTGGTCTTAATGACTCAATGTGTATTTGCGTTCGTAGTGCATCCTATATATCTATGTCTCTGAAATAAACTGTGACACAGCTAAGACATTTACACACCTGCGAAACTTCATTTTTAAAGCTACAAATATAGACAGATGATTGAGTCGTTCGGTGTGCTGAGAGGTTCTCTTTTCGAGTGATTTGTGTGTACGAGGGTTTCGCCTTATAAGGTGGAAGAATGACGTCAGAATTGACTTCCAAAGATTCAGAATAATCCCTTTAATCCAGTTTCTAATCTTTATCCCCGTCAAAGGAAATAGAAAAGGCTAAGGTATTCCTCCTCCGAAGCAGGTTCTCCCCGAAGATAAGGAGGATTCATGCTGAGCAGATTGTAAACAGAACAAATAAGGGAAGAGCAGGGCAAATAACTGCGCATGTTGCATATAGACTTCGAAACTAGACAGTTCGATCGATAGAGACAGAAAGATGTATAGATAGAAATGAAATAGCGCGGTACATACATACATACATACATACATATATACATACATACATATATATACATAGATATACAGATATAGATAGATCTAGTTATGAATGTATATACAGATAAATTAAGAAATGTGTCTATTTACACACACACACACATATATACACATTCAGATGCATGTGCGTGTATTATTAGAGATTTATCTAGTATCACCTTAGAAAACTGACCGTGAATGTCAAACGACGAAAGAACCAGAGGAAGAAAATGAATAATAGAATAAAAACATCTGCACTATTTCCTTGTAAAGATTGTAATTAGTCAATAAATATGGATTTTTTTTTTTTTTTTTTTTTTTTTTTTACTCTACAATAATTTGATCACAATAATCTGATGATAATTCTTTACAGTTTACTCTTTACACTTAACTTATGTTAAAGAAAACATCAAAATCACTTGGACTGGCTTCTCGTTTGGCTTCATATGCGTGTTATATGTTGAACAGGGTAGTTTTACTCGCCTCTCACAGTCCCTTATGTTTCGTGCTTGTTCAGGTCTTATTATGAAGATAATATCTATATATGTCAATAACAATATATATGAGTATTAGTAACAGGGCTCTCACAAGCAGAGATGAACATTACCTTAGATGTCGATTTTTACCTTAGATTTCAGCGAATTACTTTAGAACTGTTGGAGCATATCCCTGAAAATTACCTTAGTTTTTTTTTTTTTTTTTTTTTTTTTTTTTTTGAAAATATGAATTCATCTTAACTTTCTTTGTTCTTGACACTTTTAATGACGATTGCACAACTAGTTTTAGGTAGCAATCAACCATAATACGCATATGAGAATTATTCAGTAGACCTGATAGGCTACATCATAACTTTATCATTGCTGGAATCATTTAAAAAAATAATGCCCTTTCCTTCTTCAACACAAATAACACTTATCTTTACAAAATATAAATAAAAAGACATTTTCAATTACTAACTGACAGTAAGACTGCCGAAAGTGTTATCATACTAGATCATCAATAATAGTTATCATTACAAGATACAAAGAAATAACACATTTTCAAATACTAACTCACAGTACGAATGTCCAAAGTGTTATCACACTAGATCATCAATAATACTTATCTTTACAAAATACAAAGAAAAAAGAATTACGTTAAAATTACCTTAATAATTGCATTACCTTAAACGTTACTTTAAAAGTACTTGGATTACCTCGAACTAAGGTAATTACCTTGAGAGCGAGAGCCCTGATTAGTAATAACAAAATATATAACCAAGGTATGATGATGACAATCATAAGAAATATATACTCGAATATTATGAAAAGATTAAACTAATCACTTAATGCCATGCACATGTGGAAGGAGCCCTATGACTATTTGCTTGTCATGTAGAACTATGGAATGTAGGACTATGTTTTATGAGTCCCTTTGATAGACGAGCGTGTGACGAGCTGGCTGGGCACGATGCTTAGCACCCTCAATTGAGATGGAATAATCAGCTGTAACATTAAGATTATTGCTTGTTATGATTCACAATCCATGGGGTTATAAGTGCTAGTTCTATAAAAGAAAAACATTTAAGACTTATTTTTCACACCTTCCGACACAATTTTTATATTCCAAAATTACAGTGAACATACATCACCCATTAAACCAACACTTGTTTTACAAGTATTGGTTGTGAAACGAAGTCCGTAATCACTTCATATATTTTCTGATCCTTGACAAGCCTCATCCTACACTACAACAATTATATATATATATATATATATATATATATATATATATATATATATATATTTTTTTTTTTCACATGACACAACCATTTTTCCAGAAAGTGAAGAGCAGCGTTTTATGCCTGTTGAGTGTTATGTTGCATTCGCCTTCAGATTCATCAGCTTAAGATTTCTTATCGCCATTAAATTCTAGACAATTTTTTTTGCAGTGGGCCATTTATTAATTTGTAATGATCTATTTAACTGTTTTTATTACGTTGCGCAATTTATCATTCAATAGCTTCTATATTATTTGATTTTGTTATGTGTTCATGTATCTTGTGAAAGATTAGTTTTACTTTAACTTGATTTTTCTTAAGCGTTAGTTATGTGTCCTATTATTTCCTCTTCATTTCCTTTTATCTGAAATGTTCTTAACCAAGCAGAACTAATATCAGGAAAAATATGCGTCCAAAACATAAAGTATTTAAGCGGTTTATTCCAAAATAAATGCATGGCATATTAAGAAACATCTTGACAGCAATATTGTTGGCGTTCGTCTGAGTTACTCTGGATACTGGAGCAACTGGAGATACAAGAGACTAGAACATCTGGAAGCAGCTACAATTACACTGGAGTTTGGAACTGCTGCGGTCACAGTGGAGAAGGAACAGCTGTGGTTCCGTTGAAGATAGGAACAGCTGTTGTTACATTGCTGACTGGAACAACTGTAGTTATATTAAACACAGGAATAGCTGTGGTCGCATTGGAGACTGGGGCAGCAGTAGTGGTGCTGGAGACAGGGGCAGCTGTGGTTCTCTGGACACAGTTGGCGTGTTCAGGAGAGTCACACACTTGCAGTTTGGCGTTGAAGTGCAGCGCAGGAGGACAGTGCTGCAACAGGGCCGTCCCGTACCAGCTGCACATGTAGAAGGAGCCGCAGTCGACGGGGTTGGGCAGCAGCAGAGGGATCGGCCCCGGCGTGTAGGGGCACTGGGCGGCCACTTGAGGAGGGGCCGTGACGACGGCTGGGAGGCCGTGACTCACTCCTGTTGTGGCTCCTCTGTTGACTGGAACAGCTGAAGTTATATTGGAGAGTGGGGCAGCTGTAGTAACGTTGGCGACAGGGACAGCTGTAGTCACATTGGAGACGGGAACAGCTGTGGTCACATTGGAGACAGGAACAGCTGTGGTCACATTGGAAATAGGAACAACTGTGGTCACATTGGAGGCTGGCACAGCAGTAGTGGTACTGGAGACAGGAGCAGTTGTGGTTCTCTGTACACAGTTGGCGTGTTCAGGAGAGTCACACACCTGCAGCTTGGCGTTGAAGTGCAGCACAGGAGGACAGTGCTGCAACAGGGCCGTCCCGTACCAGCTGCACATGTAGAAGGAGCCGCAGTCGACGGGGTTGGGCAGCAGCAGAGGGATCGGCCCCGGCGTGTAGGGGCACTGGGCGGCCACTTGAGGAGGGGCCGTGACGACGGCTGGGAGGCCGTGACTCACTCCTGCGACGACCAGCAGCGACAGAGACGCGACCAAGCTGACGGAGATGAAGTAAAGTTTTGTTATTTTTCTTTACAGAATACGATACTAAAAATTAATATTTGTGACCTATAAGGCATAGAAAGATGATGTTAGCATCTCAACCAGTGGTTCCAGGCTGGCGCCCCCTTGGCTTACAGTTGGATTCCTAGCGCCCCTCTGTCATACACATGCGAACATGTGTATGGGAGGTGGTGTGCTTCGTATTGAAACCAACAAAATCAAGCAAAAATACATTTCACAACTTGTTTATTTATGAGTTTTTACTGCCACTCCTTTTTTACTTTCCATTAAGACGAAGCGATTGATTGAAATCACCTACACACCTTTTAAACATCATGTTTTAGATGTTTTCACTGATTGCCCAAATGCAGGTAGACGCTGAGGTGCCTGACGTTGAAGGAGCTTCTCGTGTTAAGAACGATCCTCTCGAATGCGTTGGTCGGACGAGCGTCTTGCTTATAAGAACGAGGAGTGACGTCAAAGAGCAGACGTCGAGGACCTCGGATTAAATCCCCAGCATACGTTTCGATGACGTCTCAGTGGCGACGGAAAGACGAGATAAGGTTCCTTAATCCTCTTGGACGGATCTCTCTCCGGAAATAGCTGATAAGCGCCGATGGGAAGATAAGGGAGGGTTTTTTGGGGTCGATTTGCCTCTCACATTCCGAGGAAATGTTTGGGATAAACCGCATTTGTTAGGCAGATGTTTGTTCAGTGCAACAAAAATGGATTGCTTGTGTAGTACAAGTTATAAGCTTGAAAATAAATAACCATAACACGAATAACCGATAAATTAATAAATCAACGAGATTATATATACATTCATACATTATATTATATATATTATATATATATATATATATATATATATATATATATATATGCACGCATATATATGTATACGTACATATACACACACACATTTTTATGTCTATATGTATACGTATGTATGTGCATACATTTTGCCTAAAATATAGACAAAAACATAAACATCTGCGCTAGTAGATAGATGGTGACAAGGTGTGGACAGATAGACCGTTACTTGTTTGTATTATCCAGACAAATAATTTCAAGCAAAGCTCAGCGTCCACAAGGGAGCATTGGACAGTTACAACATTATAGATATTAATAGACAGTCCATTACAACTTATAACTCAATCTATGGAGTTGCTTTTGTAGATAACAAATTCCCGAGGGATGAAACACCGACTGTTAAAACATGAACAAATATTCAGAACTATATGATAATTCTTCTCATCTCCTCATTCCTTAATAATTGTTTTGTTTTTCCTGTTCCATATATCATGATCAGGCGTCGCAAAATCTGGTCAGGCTTTTTTGTGATTTTCTTTTTTCTTGCCATGCTGTTTACTTTATCCTACTTTATGCAACGCATCGCCATACTCTAATATCCCAATAAGATAAAACGGCCACTGTAGGGGAAAATCGCGTTTTGATTCCAAACTGGTTTCATCAGACGACGCAAAAACGAAGTGGATAGATCCATTTCCATTTCCTTATTATTATTATTATTATTATCATTCTCATAATATCACGATTTGTTTAGCCTTGTTTCCAAATTCTGTGCTTCTAACTATATTCTCATTTCCAGGTTCATCGAAATAGAACTCTTCAGAAGACCTTTTAGGCTTTGGTTACTTTTACATTTCTTCTTGCGAGTGCATCCCAGACAATCTGTTCTGAAATATAAGCAATCGCCAAGTCCTTCGTTATTTTCCATCACCTTTTGTAAATTGAATGAACTTTAAGTTCAATAATTACATTCTTTGTCCGTCATAATAATTATTGTTGCCATTGGTGTCTACCTCAAGAAAGGTCTATTATAATCTTAATATTCGTTGTTTGTTTTATATTCTTGTGATATTAATGTTATTCTCTTCACATCATTAATTTTCTGCAGTTATGTAAGCTAACCAGAATAACCATCATGAAAGAAATGCGTGCAAAATATAATGTTCGATTTCAAAAAGTTTATTGCAAAGTAAATGCAGGATACATTGGGAGGCATTTTGATTGTGCTTGTGATTCGCACTCTGGTCTGGTCCAGGCGTGGTCACCCTGGACACTGGATGCATAGAGACATAGACCAGCTGGGTACAGCTGCGGTTACAGTGGAGTTTGGAAAAGGTGTGGTCACGCTGACGAAGTAACAGTTGTGGTCGCATTGTTGATTGGAACAGCTGTAGTTATATTTGAGACTGGGACAGCTGTAGTTACGTTGGAGACAGGGACAGTTGTGGTCACATTGAAGGCTGGAGCAGCAGTTGAGGTGCTGGAGACATGGGCAGCTGTAGTTCTCTCGATACAGTTGGCGTGTTCAGGAGAGTCACACACCTGCAGTTTGGCGTTGAAGTGAGCACAGGAGGACAGTGCTGCAACAGGGCCGTCCCGTACCAGCTGCACATGTAGAAGGAGCCGCAGTCGACGGGGTTGGGCAGCAGCAGAGGGTACTCCCCCGGCGTGTAGGGGCACTGGGCGGCCACTTCAGGAGGGGCCGTGACGACGACTGGGCCTCCGCGACTCAATCCTGCGACCGCCAGGAACACGAAGGACGCGACTAGCCTGACGGAGAGAAAGCGAGGGTTTGGTTAAGGGGAGAGTTGATTTGGCTTTTTATTTCTTCCTTTTTGTGATTTTTTTTTTTAAATATTTTTCACTTGTTATTTCCTTTATTTCGTTTTTAGTTCTAGTTCCTGAACGGATTAATTCGACTTCTGATTCCTTTTTTGATTTATGATATATTATTTGATTTCAACTTTTTTTATTTACTTTCATTTTCTATACTTTATTTTCATCTTTATTTACTGATTATTTCATGTAATTTTCTGACTGATTTAATTTTTGTTGGTGCCGTCGAAAACTGTAGCTATCAAACCCATCTTTACACCTAATGATCACAGTCAAACATACCTGTTGAAATGCATAGTTGCAATGTTGAAATAACGAAAGGCGATGATTTAACAGCAGCTTCCACTTGCAAGCTCGAAGTGTTGTGACTCGGACAAACCTCCCAGCTCATCTTATAAAGCAGAAGAATGACGTCAAAACCTTGTTTATCAAAAAAAAAGGTAAGAAAAATAACACCGGAACTTGAAGGAAAACCCCGCAGATGGACGGACGTGTAACCCAATCGACATCATCAAGATAACAGGAGATAAGATCGAGGTTCATTTGTCCGAATGACGTACCTCGAGCTGGCGCTGCTTATCAACAGTGGGGGGGGAACATGGCCGCGCAATTGCTCTCTTTGGAAGTCTGAAGTGGTTCGGATTTCAGCGAAAGGAGAGATGAATGTTGCCGGGGAAAGGGGGGGGGGGGGGGGGGTCATGGTGATATGGGTGCTGACGGTGTCTTGGGAGAATTGAGTGACGTGTCATGATAAAGCTCGGTAAATAGCATGATATCTGCTCCACGGCCCTGGTTGCTTATGCATTCATTTACACAAGCATACATAAACATACACACACACACACACACACACACACACACACACACACACACACACATATATATATATATATATATATATATATATATATATATATATATATGTATATATACACACACACACACACACATACATATATATATATATACATATATATATATATATATATATATATATATATATATATATATATATATATAATATATATACATATATATATATATATATATATATATATATATATAATATATATATATATATATTTGTATATATATATATATATATATATATATATATATATAATATATATATATATTATATATATATATATATATATATATATATATACATACATATATATATATATATATATATATATATATATATATATATATATATATATATATATATATATATATATATATATATATATATGTATATATATTATATATATATATATATACATATATATATATATATATATATATATATATATATATATATATATATATATATATATATATATATATATATATATATATATATATATATATATATATATATATATATATATATATATATATATATATATATATATATATACCTATATATAAATACATATACATATGTATATGAATATATGTATATACACACAAACAGTAATGATTAATTTTGGGAGAAGCAATTAGTTTATTTTAACGCTCTCTCATTAGATGAGCCGTTGCTGTCCTCCCGTGTACACGTATGCTTAGAGCTGGTATTTAAAGTCGTGTTTTACCCTGATATCATAGGTTGTAATGCTTGATAAGTGTATTAACGTAATTGCTAAATCTCTATGTATTGATTTATGATAATTGAGAAGAGTCGTTGCTGTCCTCCCGTTTACAGAGACAGAAATGATGAAAAAATGAGGCGAGAACATGCCATAATGCTTGTTGCTAGGGGACATACTTGCATTCTGCTGTGGATACAGTAACGGAATTAGTCGTAGGTGACAGTAACGGTGGTATTAATGAATAGATTGAGAAGGACATTATTTATTGGAAGTGTAAGAATGGAAAATTGTAAAGATTAAAGGAGAGGAACGATTGGCTTACGTCCTTGTAAAACTACATTGGATGTGGTTCTTGATTCTGTCTCCTGTATAATTTTATTTTGATTAAAATGATATTGATTCATAATCAGTAGGAAAAGTGAGGGTATAGAGTTAACCTTACAAATTTGTATGCTAGTTGAGAATATTGCCTGCTTAAATTATCATGTTTATTGCTAAGATTTACATAATGATATGCCACCTGTTCATTATTATTTATTTATTGAATGAAATTTTAATGGTTAAAAACGTTTCTATAACCAATGTAATATTTGGCACACACTCAACAGAATTCATTCCGACCCCACAAGCCTTAAAGACCGTTACGAGTCACGCTAGCCAAAAATTTAACGGTACAGTAAATACAGTTAAAGTAGGCCTACATTTAAATAGATTGGTATATGAAAAACGTAATAATATGACATCTTTACACAAATTGAGTAGAATATTTATTAAAATTTGGTAAATGAAAAATTCATGTGTGTGTGTATGCATGTGAATGCATATGTATGTTGCTTTGTTAACCAAAGATATGTTGCTTTGAAAACATATATTACTTTGAAAATAATAGACACATTGCTTGGAGAGCAATAGACTTATTGCTTTGAAAACAATAGACACTGCTTTGAGTCAAGCACCGTCGTGGGTGGGAAGTGCATATCAGATATCAAGACGGCGACGACACAGTGGATCTTGAAGCACTTCATAGCCGTTCCTTCAAACTCTCAAGGTGCATCTTATCCTCAAGAAATCTTACCCGGGGAAAACAAGAGACAGTGCCTCCTTTTTCAAGGGAAATGCACACATGCACACCAACACACACACTATGTGTATGTAATAATGTATGTATGAATGGATGTAGTATCATGTATGTATATATTATATGTATATATATATATATATATATATATATATATATATATATATATATATATATATATATATATATATATATATATATATATATATATATATATATATATATATATATATATATATATATATATAGTGTGAGAAAAAATGAAATATATTCAGTTCACTAGACGCTATTATTCCCGATGGTTACGAACGAAGAGAGCGCACACCTGTGAATGTGAGCGGAAGGCTGGGCAAAGCAACTGCAGAAGGTGTCAGTGGTTCTTAATCTAGGGGGGGGGGGTCTCCATAAGGGGGCGTCGGTAATTTCCAAGGGAAATTTCCGAGCCTATAGGAAATAGTAGGAATTTCTCTAATCACATTTGTTAGTCTCTTAACGAGAACATGGTCAAATAATTTGAAGTTTGAGCATAATGTGACTAACCCATACTTAATAAAAGGCGAAGAACATATTTATTTTCTTGAAAATCTGGGAGGGACTTTGATTCATGGAGACAGAGGGGGTGTGGAGGTGAAAAATTCCTAAAAAGGGGCATGGTAGTAAGAAAATTAAGAACCACAGGTCTAGACACGTTTAGCAATGAAGCAATGCAGGACAATTAAACATTATTCAGTAATTGTGACACACACACAAATGTACACACAAAGATAAACACACACACACACACACACACACACACACACACATATATATATATATATATATATATATATATATATATATATATATATATATAATATAATATATATATATATATATACATATATATATATATATACATATATATATATATATATTATATATATATATATATATATATATATATATGTGTGTGTGTGTGTGTGTGTGTGTGTATGTATGTATATGCATATCCATACATACATTATATATATATATATATATATATATATATATATATATATATATATATATATATATATATATTGTAAATAATATATCCAAGGCCAGATATGCTTCACACCTCTGTCCCCAGCAGCTACCTTAAAGTAGTAAGTTCCTCCTTCAGCAGACACAGGTAAGCTTTCACTTCTGACACCTTTGCTGCCGGAAACAAGCGCCTACGCTTGAAGGAAGCCGCCGCATAAAAGGACACGTCTCGTCGGACCACGTAGAGACGGCAGACAAACGACGACATACGTGGTCTTGCTCTCCACTACCACGTCCTCGAGCCCGGAGACATGGGGGTCTGGGGTCTCACATCTATCGGGAATAAACCCAAAAGCCAAGACCCCTTTCAATATCCGCCCTAAGTCCATCTCATGTGTCATTGATGTATAAATGTGTGTGTGTGTGTTTGTGTGCGTGTGTGATTCCTCATACATGTTTGGGAGCTCAGTGTCAGACCAAATACTTGAGGAATATCTTCCCAAAGATCTGGATTGTGCGCTTCTGTGCATATTGCATTCTCACTCACGCTCTGATTTGCATGTGCGTCCTTGAATATAAAGGCGAGAATGACGTGTGTATCTGTGTAAGCGTCGACGTGCCACGAATATCTTCAGTTGTAGGGATGGAAAGCATTATGCTAATGATGCAACAGCAATAATAGCAATGATGATAAAGATGGTGTTGGTGATAAAGATGATAATGATGAAATGAAAAATAACAAAAAAATAAAAGTGATAATGATAGTAATAATGGCAGTAAAACAAAAATGATGATAGCATTATTGATAATAATGATAATAGTAATAATAATGATAGTAATAGTAATAATAAAAATATTAATGAACCCGGGCCGCTTGAACGAGAGATGCCAACGCTACAGGATGAGCTATCGGAGCTCAGTAATAAAATAATAAAGATAATAATGTGATATTGATAACAGTAGTAATGATAGTGATAAAAGTATTAACAATGGCAATAATAATAACAATGATAACAACGACAGCAACAATAATAACAATAATAATGGCAATAATAAAGATGGTGATAAATAATGATTATGCTAATGATAATTAATGATAATGATAATAACAATGCTAATTATAAAACTAATAAAATTATCATAATAATAAGGATAATGATAACAGTGATAACAATAACAATGATAGTAATGATGATAACGATAATGATAGCAATAATACTAACAAAGATGATAGTAATAATAGTAATAATAACAATAATAAAAATGATACTAATGGTAAAGATGAAAATAATAATAATAATGAAAATAAGAACAATAGTAATAACAAAAGCAATAAGAACAGTAATGATGCTTATTATGATAATGATGGTAGAAATGATTATGATAATGATAAAATAATGATAATAAGAATGATAAATATAATACTGATGATAAGGGTCATACTAAAATACAACTACTGCAACTACTAATGATAATAAGAGTATTAATGTTCACGATAAGATTAAATGATAATGATACGAAGGGGCTAATGATAATAAAGATAATGCCGATACTAATAAAGATGACGATAATGACAATAATAATCGTGATGATGTTAACGGTAATAACAGAAATAATAGCAATCTTGATAATAATAACAATAATAATAATAACAAATAACTAGCATAATAATTACAGTTATTACCATTATCAATTGACTTCCTGTCTGACTAACCTTA